TAAACACTACTTGACATGGTGTAGCGGCCACTGCTGTTCTTATTGTGTCTCGCTCGTGTTGCATTGCACTTTGCCCGGTTGAGGCTGCTTTCGAGAGAAAGAAAGGTGAGAGAAGAGACAAAAGGGACCAAGCTGCATGTCGTTGTAGTTTGAAAGCTAGGGGAAAAGGTAGCCTGCATGTGCAACGCGTGTTTTGCGAACCTTGATTTTCCGACCAGCGCGCGCGTGTTTTCGCTGTTGCGAACAACACACCAGTTTGGCCATTCCCCCGAAACACGCAGAAGAGCGCATGGGCAACCAGTGCTGATCTCTCCTTGGCTCATCAGCGAGTTGATAGACGGAGTTACTCTACTGCCACGGCTGCGGCTCATTCAAAAGAGTAACCATGTCGGCGCACCGTAGGCGTCAGGGTAGGAGATTGGAGATGTTGAAGGTCGGCTGATACCTCGAAGGGTCACCCGCAAACATTTTCCCGGCGGACCTGTCAGTAAGCCTCTCACGATTTCCACTCTCTGCTGCTTGCGCTCGCGACGCAACACATGAGGTCAGTCGCTGGTAGTCTAGCACAACGAATGGTAGCTTGTCGGCACCTAGAGGATGATGCTGTCCTATGCTGGAGGATCGCCGGCGAACGCACGCGGAAAACATTTTCCTTACCCTTCAATTCCTGGTGTGTGTATGCATATTATGTACACCTCTTTTAGAGGCCTTGAGAGCGATATAGCTCCACCGACAGCAAGCGAGAGGGGGCAGTTTTCGAGATCAACTCCGTACATAGCTCGTTTTGGTCGCCCTCTCGCTTGCACTTTGTCCCTCGTGGCAGCCCACGACTATATGATAGCACCTGGACGGGGAGCTTATTTTTGCGGGCAAACACGGAATAGCAGGTTAATCATGACGAGATGAAACGTGCCCCCCTGTGGTCTGTCGTGCACGCGCAAATCACTCCGACCCGACTGCAGACTACGTTTGAGGTTGGAGCTTCTGAGAGCCTGACCCCGGCCGATACAGATAGCGATTCATGTGCTCTTAAATGCGACCACGGCTATATCTTGAGGCCGTCAAAGGACCTTGCTCGTTCATGTTCGTGGGCGAGTGCCCTGACGGCAGAGATTTTTTTCGCGCGCCGGGCCGTCTCTTTGACCTGGCGCTAGGGAGCATCTCCCCGAAAAGTTGCCGACGTGTGTGCACTACTATGCACAACGAAGTACATATGCTGCACATGCTCCCTGCTGCGATTGTCGCTGACCCATTCCACTACATGTAGAATACTCCTGTTGAGCATTTGGGGGACTTCAACACGCGCTTGAGTCCCGTTCGTGTGGGCGGGTGGTCGATAGATACATAATAAGATACCCGTTTCTCTGGCTGTGTGTTTTTTTTTGTTCTTGATATAAGACAGATTAGCAATAAATCCAAAGCGTCAGGGAAGGCTACCTGTGTTTCCATGATTTCCCGAGCAGCATACAGCGAGACATCTCCCCCGTTGGTAACAGGGTCAACAAGACGGTGTGGTACCTCCTCCTCCGAAGTCCTCGAAATTCTTGAACTAAACTGCTGCAAGCGTCTCATCTCGGCGCTTGGCGCTCGTGCCCTGCGTACACAAGTATAAACCATGTACGAAACATAGACTAACCGTGATTTCGCAAATACTTGTACACGGATTGCGCTGCTGTATGTGTAGGACAAATGTATTCTCGGTTGGATGCATTTGTACATTAGACATTAACCGGCCAATGGAGGAACGCTTAAGTCACCTCTCGCGCCAACAGCTCGTTCTCGGGTGTGAGAACGTATCAAGTGTTTTTAAGTATCGGACGATAGGGTATTGTAGGCTACCTCTCTAAAAAATTATTCGCAAGGGCAGATGAGAATAGAGCTGATGCAGTGCACCTCAGTGTTTAACGAAACATGGTGGAAAACACACACACCCCCAATTAAGGAACACTTTGGCTTTGTGGCTGATTTCGTACGTTCTGAAGCGTTTCATGATCTGCGTTTTTGTGTACATGCGTCTGTTGCAACATGTATCCATTTGAGGGGGAAAAATTGGAATTGATCAACGCCCGGGGACCAATCCTCTCATCACCGGGGTTCCCGACTGGTATAGGGGACGGATTTTTACCCCGCTTTTGACCGTACGGCGGTGCTGCGCACATGAAAAGAGCCGGAACTAAGAGATTAATGCAAAGTTGGTCCATTCTGGTCATATATCGACTCCCTGATTAGAAATTAGGACGAAAAACGTTGCGTAGGTGATGTAATGCCCGTTCAAACAGGCATACCTTGGACCTGGCCGCTATGGTAAGAATTCTCCGCGGGGTCCCCAAGGCCATTTCCCTTGTTTCACATTCACCTTACACTCCCACAACGTGCCCTTTTTGGGGTAGGCGTTTTCTATGACAAGGAACGTTACAAAAAAAAAATCCATGCATACCCGGGGACAAAATTGCCACATCCCCGGTTTCGCGGCAAAATCAAGGTATCGCCCCCCTGCCCCCCGACCCCGGTGCTGGAGTGCACCCCAAGCATCTCTGCATAGCCCTAGAAACCACCCCAAGCTTCTACTAGGCACATCAATTTGACTGTAAGAAAAAACTATGTCGTCTGGAGCTCATTTGACCTCCTTACATCTACTACATACATTCAAGCACGTCAACTCGGCAAGCAAGGCAAAAAGTAGCTTGGCACTGCGGTGAGACTTCTCGCAGAAAATGGCACCTGTTTCCCACCACTCGAACGCCCTTTCGAAAGATCGTTTCAAGACGATCAGCTCAAGTCGCGAAGCAGCAAAAAAAATCAATAGCCCTTCAGGCCCGGGGACAGCATTTCAACGTCCCCGGGGTTCCGGAAAACACCTCTACACTTCCCATCCCCCCTCCCCCCCGTGGGACGCTCGAAAACTACCCCCACAAGCTGTTGAAGCACATCCCTGGAATACATATCGGCACCTCGACACTCAACTGACGTTTTCTGTATGTCTCACTCGAATAATTCATCCTTCACTCGAATAAAAAAACGATAACCGTACAGCATCTAGTCTACACATGAACGATTGGTGTCGGGGTTTGTTGCCGGCCGCGAGAGGAAAAAGGGGCCGCCGCCGCCGCCGGCTGAACCAAGGGAACGACCGCCCCTCTCGGCCGTCCCGCTTCTGCTTGGACGCGAGCACCGGCCCCCACCCGCCCACCAGCCCCCCTTCCCTCTCCAGCCCGCCGCTCCGCCCGCCGCTCCGCCCGCCGCCCTGCCCAAGATTGGCTTCCCTCGCTGCCCTTGCCTCTGTACGGTCCTTGGCGTCGTCCGCCTTTACTTTCTCAGCTGCCTCCTTCTCTTATCTGTCCTTCCTGTCCTTAGCAAGGTGTTCTTCGGCGGACAGGAGACCTCCCTCGGGCTTCTCCCCGCCCGCCCGAACGGTCGCGAAAGACTTGGAGCGCTTGATGAGGCGGATGAGCCCGCCGAGGAACAACGGTGTTCACGCGGAGCCCCTCGATCATCACTCCCTGTCGTTTCAGCTCCAGGAGGGCAGCGTGGCCGAGATCTTCTTCGAGCTGCTTCTTGGAGGCAACGACGGCGAGGTCTTCAGGGATAGGGCGGTCATTCTCCCGTTGCTTCCTCTTGCCGTGTAGTCGGTTGATGGCCTTCTCCATGTTCACCGGTCACAAGCCCGCTCCTTTGAACGCCGCCATGTTATTCGCAGGCGTGAAGCTCGCTCTCCATGCCTCCGCAATCACGCCAGCCATGTCGCGCTTCACCGGACTCCTCCCCCCGATTTTCAGTGGGTAGGCCGTGAGCACCCTGGTGAGCTCCTTCTTGAAGGTTCCGAACGTACCAACGTCCAAGGGTTGGGTGATGTGCGATGTGTGGGACCGGAGCTGGAAGAGGTCAATGTCCAGAGAGGTGGCCAAGCTGATGCCGTCGAAGGTCGTGTGCGAGGCGTGGCCGTCGAGCACAAGGGCAACTTTGCCCTGCAAGCCGCCATCGAGCTGTTCGCGGAGGTCTCGAAGGTAGTCGAGGAACACGTGGCTCTGGATGAAGGATGACTCCGTGACGGTGTACGTCGCATCGGGGACGCCGTTCTTGTCCTGGATCGAAGCGGGTTGCATACGCTGGCCTTTGTAGATGGTGATAGGGTTGTGGGTGTGGCCGTCGGTGCCGATGCTGGCGACCGCCGTCGTATTTTCTCGCGAGTTGGAGCGCCTCGCGCCGGGCACCTTGGTGCCTGTTGACACGATAGCCTTCCCCGACGTTGTACCTCGCGGGGTGGAACCTGCAACACACACCGGAGAACGCGCGTGCATCGGGGGTGGAGGCAGTCGAACAATCAGTAAAGTAAACATAATTTCGCAGCAGCAGCGCTCGCACACACAATAAAGCGCGCTTTCACACGCACATGAGCGCAGCTCGCACCGGCCGGGCGGTGGCACACAGCGCTGGCGACGGGACCATTGTTTTCAACAGCAGTCGGATTCGTTGGGTGTGAATCAACAACCCCACACCCATGAAAGTTTACATTGAGCTCGAAACCAAGGTGGGTTAACGAAAGCAAAGCGTCCTACTGAAGTCTCGACTTGACTGCACTTCGCACAGCATTGGCAACACACGTGCATGCGGACCATCACCGCACGCGCCCGCTGTCGCGTGTGGCACACAACAAAATCACCGTGTAGAATATCGTGCATGAGCCCTACCATTTCTGTGCTAGAGTATAACTGAGATGACCACAGGGAATGCTGCATGTTCAACCCTCAAACGGATCCAGCATCATATGCGCGTTGCGTGCTACAAGCATGGCAAGCAGCAGCGGCCTCGGAAAGACATGCGGAACAACTGCTGTT